TCATGTTGTTCACTTGGGTTTTTATACACAATTTATCCATTTCTGCTTAGTTTTTGTTCAAGGAAACAATCACACGGTGTAAGATGTGTTGTTGTTCATCTGATGTTGTTTGTTTCAACTTGTTTTTGAAGTTTTTATTTATGTCCTGATCTGCAAAAGCTTAGAACTGATAGAAGGGGCACTTTCTTTTCACAAGTGTAGGCTGAGTGGTGATACAGGACTACCAGCCTGCACAGAAGCTTTTCTTGTGGTTTTAATGTGATGTTACTTTAATGATGATGCTTGATTGGATCCTTTCTGCTTTTTCCAATCAGAGAGTGGTGGGCGCAAACTAAATGAGAATAAGATGTTGACTTCTAAGAAAGCCAGGTGAGCGCCATCAGGGTCTCTATTTTCACATACAAGACCTACATACTTTCTCACATAAAAATCACCATTTTAACTTGCTAATTCATTACAGCCATGGCGCTAACTTTACTGCATCTGTAGTTATGTGTCTATAATTCTTTCCCATCGCAGGTTCGACCCTTACAGCAAGTCCGGCTTTGCTATCTGCAGGATCTGCAAGAGCTCAGTTCATCAGGCTGGATCACACTACTGCCAGGGCTGTGCATACAAGAAAGGTACAAAGTCGCACTGCTTACCATGCAGGAATGCTACTGTGGGTCCAAAACTGGAATGCATTTATCGCTTTCAGCAGATTCTAACAAAACTGCCTCTCTGCATGATACACAGATCAATACACAGATGTTCTTTGTAAACATTATACTTGTAGTCCTGCTTTTCTTCACAGCTTTAAGCTCTGAAAACCGTTAAGCAACTGCTTCTGACACATCTACTTATTTTTCTTTTTTTGTCTTTAAATTGAGGCAAAAATGCTCAGATTAGGATGTGGCAATAGCTGGGAATGTGAGAGGACTCTGACCTGCCGGTGGGCTTTTCCCCCTCTTTAATCTATTTTATGTCTACTAAAGGTCTTAGACTAGATCTTTGTTGCTGAGTCAGTCAGATCAATGAACAGTCCCTCTTCCGTAGTGCTGAAGTCAGCATTTGCCCGAGTGGTCTAAGATTTAATCTTTCAAGAAGATTAGTTAAACAGGTCAAAGGTAGCATGGCTGACAGTGCTAGCTGTTTACATTAGATAATAGAAATGACACAACATCTCAAAAGGTATAGATATGTTGATCTTCATGTTACTTACATATTCCTGTATGACTACAGGTTATCAGGCCAGATAAAGAAGAAAGGAGCAAATATAATAACAAATACAAAGGATGAGTAGCGCAAAGTACAGTGCATGACAGCCTTATTCCCCCGTGATTCGGCAAATACGAATTCAACAACAGGGTTACAAAAGAACAGCCTGCTTGAGGCTTGGTTTTGGAAACTTTAACATGAAAGTGAGGTCAAATCAGTTATGTATTCTTATATAACTAACTATTCAACTAAGAAGTTAGTTGGGCCAGATTTTCAAACCTGGCCCAACTAACTTCTTGGGCCAGGAATTTATCTGGGCCAGATACTTTTTTGCAGCCAGTAAGCAGCAGATCATGATCAATTTCAAACCCACACAGACTTCTCACAAATGCACACCAAAAGTTCCATTTAAAAAAAAGGGAGCAATTTTAGGTCTCTACTGTCATTTCTTATTTTCCTGCCCTTTGTGCTTTTTCTGTCATTGAACAGGGAAAATTAGAGAAAAACATGCTTTCGACAGGACAGTAAGAACTCACTGGAGAAACAATAATGTTCCCAGATTTTCCACCAGATGCCTTTTGGAGTCTGGAACCCTGAGCTGGGGCATATTGCAAATAAAAGGACCTCTGGTCTTCCTCAGGAATTGATGTGATCAAAAAGCATAGTTACAGGAGAGTTAATATTTAACTTAAACTCATCAGTTTGATAGACAGAGCTGATGCTGCTGTTTTCTGTTCACAGTTCAGTTCTGCTGCCCCAAAGAGGCCAAAAAACTCTGATAAAATAATGATGCTTGCTTAAACCATTTTTTGCATTGTTCTTTTCTCTCTCTGTTGTGTCCAGGAATCTGTGCAATGTGTGGAAAGAAGGTTTTGGACACCAAGAACTACAAACAGACGTCTGTGTAACTGCATGCTGATCAGGGAGAGGCTCCACACGTGAATAACGGACTGAAAGAGAGGTGGCTTTGTTTGCTGGAGCTGTTACAGTGGCCATACGCAGGCCATCTCTAAATACACCACCTGTTATCGCCTGTTTCTGCAGTCAACACTCTCAGACTGTTCCTGTATTTTAAATTCAGTGTTTTCCTTTTCAAAATGTTAATTTCTGTATGTAATATATGCCGTGTTGCTTTTGTTATGTGAAATAAAGCTTCCACTATGAGGACATCTGACCGGGTCGTTTTGTCTCCTTGCCTTCAGACATAAAGAGTTTAAATTTAGCCCGTGACGCACATTTGTCTCATATGCCTGAAATAATCAGTTTATTCTGACATAATCATATTTGGAAACGGTCAGGTGTGACCCCTCTGCCACCCCCCCATCCCCTCAACTGCTTTCAGAAAAAGAGGTTAGAGTTCACAAGCTCATCAGTTGATATTTAAAGGGCTCGCTCTCCCCCAGGCCTTTAGCAACATGTGCACATTTTTTTTAACGTGTCCTTATTGATTTATACTGCCGGTCAACAAGATACAAACGGCCTTAGTTTCTGGGTAATCTACAGCAGGTAACTCTCAGATATGACTGATGTAAATGAGTCAGCTGTTCATGGCTATGTTTAGCAGAGCTTTAAAATACAAAAAACATTATCAAGAGACAGTTATATCATTCTGGACAGGGGAAATGTTCTAACAAATCCATGTTATTCGTTTAACTAAACCCAGGCTAAATGTATATATTCATAAGATTAAGTGAAATAAGACATTAATATTAGTAAATCATGCCCATGACAAAAGAAATATTTAAAAATAGAAAACTGAACCTAATAACTAAACCTAAATATTGAAAACTGAAATAAAATGACCCTAAACTAAATTGAACTGAAAAAAAAAATCAGTCATGAAATAAAATACAAACTAATTAAAACTGTATTATCTCTGTGCCCATTATTCCCACTAACAGGAAATCTGAGTCACATATTTGTACCTGGGTGATTTGGTGTGCCACTTTGTGTCTCCATACTGAGACATAAAGTGGCTCTAGCTTTAAAAAGTCTGGATGCATTCATATTTTAACCCAGAGGTGATTACCAGACAAAACAACCGCTAAAAAAGGAGAATATGTGAATGAGCAAGACTGCTGCTCCTCCTGGCACAACGTTCCCATTTATCTGGGCTTGTGACGCCCTGAGGGTGGATTTGTATCCGATCCTACTCTCAAACCAGGGAGCTTTCATGTGTAAGATGAATCCATTAACCACTACACAAAGCACCCACATACAGTACATGCTATTTACTACTGCAAAATGAAAAAACAGTGTCCTGTCCATGCACATATTTTTTAAATATATGAACAAACTGGAACTGCCAATTACACTTTAAAAAGAGAAGATTTCCCTTGTTTTATTGTGTTCGAGGCCTTGCTGGATGTGGCTCATTATCATTTATCATATGTTGACATTCAAAGAGGAAACAAGAGAGAATATGGAAACATACCAACTGTTAGGGACTTTAGCAGCATGGCTGTAGTGGCAGAGCATCAGTCATTGGGTCACCGTCAGAGCAGAACCGAGGACTTCTGGTTCACCTCACTTTACTGTCTCAGGGAGAGTAGCACAATCATAAAGTCACTTATGTGCACCGATTTGCTTACACTAGTACACACGGTGTCCACAAAACTGAGATTATGAACTAGGATCCGCAATCAGAAACCTGTTAAACTCCTATTTAAAACTATACTTTAATATAATATATATCAGTCATACACCTATAAACAGGCCCAAGTTTAGAGTCTATACAATACAATCAAAGCCAAAAAGCCTGCTTTAAACTACATCAGGAACCAGCCTGGGGAATGGCAATGATCACAGACAAGCCTATGAACTATGAGTTTGAGGCAGACTGTAAGACCATGGGTAATGAACTCTCTTCCACAGGTGCTACTGTGTATTTAAGAAAGGGAAAAAGCTTCATAACACAGTAATAATTGAAGAGCATTTATAAGTCCAAATCAGCTGAGTTGCTCACAAATATCTCTCATTCATATATTAATAAGAAAATATGTTTATACTAGACGAGAATTTATTTAACTTTGGCAACTTATAGCACAACTAAAAATATTTTCAGTGTTTCTAGGCTACTTGTTGCCATTTCTTTACTTGGGAACATGCAAATAAATATGGTATATGCTGCAAATACTGCATTTAGACGCCTTAACACCCACTCACATCCTGGGCCATCTGACCTCAAGAATTCGCATGATAAGGTGGGGCCAGGTTTCACAATGAACTCACTCGAAACTCTGGCTGATTGGGACCCACACCCAGTTTCACATCTTGGCTCAGGCGATTAGAGGATCATCAGGGGGTCCTTTTGTCCCTCTGTGGGGGGACACTCCCACTAGGTTTATATCTGGGACTCTCCACCATTTGACCTTAGAACTGAAGAAGCTTCTCGGATGAGAGGTGAAAAGTCTTCAAGTAACTTAAAGAAGTCCAGACGCTTTTCTTTGCAAGCTCCTTTGACTGCATTTAATATATACCAACCTTAAGGCCGCCTATGTTATCCTGGCAATATTCTTTCATGCTAATAAAAAACTGACTTTAACTACAAATGATGACATAGGCCATGATAATTAACATCCATCTACAATAATATTGATAAAAAATACAATAAATGTGCCGACTTTATATTCAGCTTTAGCTTAGCTTTAGCTTAGCAACAGGGTCAAATTCTGACAAGCCACCTATCTAAGGTTAAAAAAAAACCCTAAATAAGCCCTGATCAATCCTCTCTACATATTAATGAAGCAGCCAATGGTCTACCTTGTGCATAATTACCCACCCCTTTCCTGTTGGTGACGCAGGCACTATCAATCCTGAAGCTGCCTATTTAACATGGGGGAGCAGCTGGAAGCATCGGACACGACCTGGGCTCCTGAAGGCTGAAGTCACCGGTGAGTCTTGCTTACTTAAGATAAGATAAGATAAAATAAAATACGATAAGATAAGATAACTCTTTATTGTCATTGCACAGTCATACATAGTACCATAGCTGGACTGGCCATCGGGCATACCGGGCATTTGCATAGTAAAAAACAAACAAACATAGTATTTTTAGCCTCGGGGTTGTCGCACAGTGAGTGCCATCCCGATCTAGTACACAACAATACACACAAAGTGGACAACACAGGGAGTGAACAAAGTAAATGAGTTTTGTTTCAGCAACTGCTTGAGCTGTTGACTCAGTGGCATTTAACCAGAAATGGACAAATGGGATATTGAAAAGACCATAAAACAAACCAACCCACACATTTGTGTACGTCCATGTAAATGGTAAATGGACTGATTCTTATATAGCGCTTTTCTACTCTCTCGGAGCACTCAAAGCGCTCTATACAACATGCCACATTCACCCAATCACACCCATTCTCACAAGCACTTTATCTATACTTAGTGCTATCTAACTA